GAGGGAGGGAGGGAGGGAGGGAGGGAGGGAGAAGGAGAGGTGCTGCGGGGCAGCGTGGGTCCGTGCCGGGGCACAGCAGCGACCAGCGACTGCAGATGAAAGAGAAAGGAGGGACGAGTGGGAGGGGGCGACGCAATCCACCGCATGCAGCCGCAAAGGGTTTGCTCCGCTTGTCATGTAATCGGGCCGGGCCGTGCCTGGCTGGACCGGACTGGACCACGCGCCGCGAATGTCACGGCCGCAATCCTCATCATAACGGCAACTCGGCATGCTACTTAGCTGCAGCGCGGAGTGGGGCACGTAACGCAGCACCCAGCAGCGACGGCGTAATAATGATGTTCGTTTGCGCCGAAAATGGGGGGTGTAGCTCGCGGCGGAGTGGCTGCTGCTCAGCTGATGGCGTTCGTTGTTGGCGTTGCGGTTGCGTCCTCGCGCCCGCGGGCGGGCCGGGCGGTGGGCCGGGCGGTGGGCCGGGCCGTTCAACCCGCGCGGCAGCAGGCACGCGGACCACTCGTCACGTGTGGGCCCCCAGTCAACATGGCATCAAAAATGAGGTCGGATAGGTCAAGATTAATAGGTCATTTCGACATCTTTTCGTGTCGTTTTGGACGAAATCCTTTTCATGTCTGTCTGTACCTGCATGTAACAAGGTGGCTGATTAATCCCGCGTGCTCTGCTGTCGTTGTGCCGCACTACACATTACACGCAGGCGAGCTGACGGGTTTGCCCGGTTTGCCTATCAACCATGGCGCCTTAAGTAATCAACCAGATAGCACATCCGCCATTCGCCCATATGCGAATCTGCAAAGTTCTTCCTGAGCAAGCTATCGTAGCGCCTGGTAGGTAGGCAACATCTTGCCTGCGGTGCATACGTGTATTGCGGGGCGGCCTACCCCGAGTCTCGCAGGCGCCCAGCTCCCGTAACTAGCCGAATAATTCCGAGAAGAACGGGCCGCACTTTCCGGACGACCCCGTAGGACTACAGGCCGAGCGAGTAGACAACCCGCCCGTGCGTACAGCATAATAACTACAGCGGTGCATGGGGTTAATCAGCCACCAGGTCTCATTCCCTCCCCTGCAACCAACAAAATTTGAAACTCTGGTGACGGTATTGGTATAACCAAGAAACAGGAAAAAGTGAAAGTGATGTCATTTGAATTCAAGGGGAACTCCCTGACGTCAAAATGACTTCACTTTGACTTTTTCCTGTTTCTTCGGTTAGTCGATCTTTATGTCCTCGCTTTATCCATCGACCAACCGCAGCTAGCCGCCAGTAACTCAAATTCTGAGCACAATTCAAGGAACAAAACGAGGAAAATTTTAAAAAGTTTGGGGTTTTAAAAAGTTTGTTTATAACGCTGCGAATTTGGAGAGCCCGATAATTGGACGACTTCCACTTAACTACCTGGAAAAGTTGTACCTCTGTCGCTGTCACAAGGACTGTCCGAATTCGCAGTCGATAATAGGTACAGTCACAGTTTCGTGTTCGTGCTACAAAAAGTACGGACGGACGGTCGTAAACCGCCCACCTGACATCTGAAGCAAAGCCCGCCTCGGGCAGGGCACGAAGCAGCACGACTTTAGCAGAGCGCGGCGTAGTGAGGTGGAGGTGGGCATGGAAACAACTAGGTAACTTTAATTAATTAAAAACGTGCAAAGCAGAGCCCTTTAGCCCCCTCCACGGAGGGGCCGATGCACGAGAGAAGCAGACGCAAAGTTGTGACGTGCTCGGCAGCAGCAGCAGCAGCGTTGAGGTCTGCGGGCAGCGGCTGTATGGTACCCCCACCTCCCTGTACGCCCAGTTTCTCAACGTGGGCCGCCGCGTCGAGTGCACCCATAGTGCGCCCTG